CTTGTTTGAATTTGGTTTTATGGTTGAGGTTAGACGTATATTTAGGTTAGAGTAAAGATTTCATTTCTAAACTTTGGATGAAATTGTTGATTAACGGCCTCACAAAGATATTTAAACAGATACGCCTGTTTGTGTGCCTGTTGTCCCCAACCCCTCTGCTCACACTGGCAACAGAGGACAACTTTTAGCTAAGATATGAAGTAGGTGAAGAAAAATGGTTTGTCAGCAAGACAATAAAGGAATCACCGTAGAGCTGAGGACATTTTTAAGTATCCACAGTACAGGATGGCAGAGTTGTTGTGCACGTGGCTGCCAAAGCATTTTTAAAATTTCACATCTGCAAGAATTTAAGCTGATTGCACAATTAATTTAGGTCAAGTCTACCAGAGGCCTTATTTTAATAACAGAATAATATCACATAATTGGTTTATTTTTATTTTAGTTTTTGCTTACAACAGAGTTCTTTTAAAGAAGAGCTCTCTGTCTCGTTTCTTTATCTCTGACTCTTCTTCTTGCTCTTGGCTCAGCTGAGCGTGGCTGTGACTCCAGGCAAGATCCGCTGCAGCAAGAAGGGAATCGTCCTGAATCGAGCCGAGGAGCGGGTGTCCTCTCGCGATGGAGAGAGAGGCCTGTACGAGTACTTCAGCTCCGTGCAGGGTCTGGGAGGATTTCAGGACCACTTTGACTGGTATGCAGAAAGCTTCTCTAAGAAAACCTGGCTGTGGATTTTGGGGTTTTATTCTGAGCTTTTCCAAACCTTTCCCTATATTCGTTGTTTTCTGTCCAGGTGGGCTGCTAATTCCTTCTCCATCCGTGGGGGGAAACCAATGTGGGTCGACCCCTTTGACAAGCACGTACAGCACATCTTTATAGATGACAACATACGACAGAATGATGAGGATACTATAGTTAACCCGAAGGTAATAGCACCGCTTTACTCACACAGTTCAGTCTATATCTGGTGAGTTTAGAAAAATAAAGTACACCAAATTAGTTCATGATAATAGATTTCATATTGTAGGAGGAGACAGGGTCTTGGAAATGGGTTGATTTTGTGAATGCAACGCTTCTGTAATTTAGAGATGGCATTGTGTTTTTGGCATGGCTCACTAGGTGTTCACTGCCGTACACCAGCCTGTTGCAGTATGTTTCACACTTGTGTATTTGTCATGTATTTTGAGGCTCTATTATATATATAATCCCCAGACTGTGTGTCATAACTGCGTACAGGCTGGTAGATGCAGAGATGTAGGCTGTAGCTGCTTCAGAGCTCCAGAAACTAAACATGACCTCTAACCTTACTCTGGTTTGCTTTTTGGGTGTGTGTGTGTGTGTGTATTTGCAGGTGTTTTTGGACCCGGGTGGCTCAGACACTCGTATAGCCTGCACCGCCGAGCTGTATGATATCGCCTTGATCCAAACCGACCTCCTCCAGGCCATTTCTGACCCCAGCTACTTCACTCAGCGTGTCCACATCTGTCTGGAAAACTATGAGAAGAATGTCCAGCAGGGGGCAACCTAGAACACACTTCAAACTTTGCATACTTTCTGTACAGTACATCAGTTTGTCTGTGAGGCAACCTGCAGTGCAGACAGGATTAACAGGCAGGCGGGACTATTACACACCAAAGCAGAAGACTTGCTCAAAGTCTAAAGTTCATCCAAACACAAATATTAAGCGGTTACATGAAGAAACAAGTTATATGGACAGGTGGACATAGAAAAAAGCGGCAGCTATGTAAACAGGACTGCAATTCATTAAACGGTTTAAATACCACATATCCTTGATAAAAAAGGATAACTGTGTAAACAAGGAGCACTTCAGTGAGATTGCACTGTCTGCTGTCCTAAAGTGAACTGGGACCCATGTTTTTGACCCAGTTGAGCACTGAATTGGCCGGGCTGGACTCTTTAATTACACCGACAGCTCTGTGACTAATCACTCCACGGTATAATTGGCCAAACTCTCAGAATTTGGAGGCAGACAGAATAATTGGTGTCCGATATGGAGAAAAGCTCTTCAGCTCTTATGTTAGTTGTTGGTTTTGCTTCAGCTCCTTTTTCTTTCTCGGGGTGCTGTTTACATCCACTCAGAACCCAGCGGTAATACTTGAATATTTTCAGGTGACTGAAGCATCTGATTACTGAGTATGTGTTACTTCTGAATGCACTGCAGTCATAAAGTAACTCTTTGTGACAGTTGGCTCAAACTTTGAGCTGTAACCTGGTTTAATATCGCTGTCTTGCTGTCAAAAGTCACCATAATAGATGTAGAAGAGTACATATCGTGCTCCTGATCGGATCCGGTGTCTATGGAGCGCTCAATGAAGCAGTTAGATGGTAGAGAGTAACATCTGAGCTGCAGAGACGTTTGCATTTAATTTGTTTGCACTGAGTTATTTTTATTTTATTTAAAGGCATGCTTGAGAGAATTGTCTAATACGTTGAATTTGGGAGGAAGTTATGGTAATTTTTGCTTTGAGGGTTTTTAGAATATGTTTATTGCTAAGCTTCCAGGGAGGCTTTAATGACTTTGTTTTTCTCAGGTCAGTTTTTAACAGACAGCCAAATGAGCAGTAATATAAAGGACCCAGATGTAGATAGAGTGGTGTTTTTTTTTTTT